GTGACCCTGCTGATTTAAAACACTAATTACATAGTTTCCAATATCACAGCAGCACATAAGCTACCACAGTAAAACAAACAAGTGAAGATATTGAGCAAGCTTCTCTGGAGAAAGTCTCCTGGAACCTGAATGCAGAAAGCTGTGTACAGAGCTGCCTTGAAAGGAGCTGAAACCTATAATCAAATGACACAACCAGCCTGCCCACACCTTGCAGGGAGGGAGTTAAGGGAATAAGGAACAGTCAGAAGGCAGGAGAGCTTGCTGCCTTCTGACTGATGAGCTTCCCATAATGATTGATTAGCTTCCTGGACCAAGAACAGAGTGGAAGGAAGGAAGGGAAGGGGTCATGAGGGGCCAGTGGAAGAGTTCCAGCTCAGTCTGGCACTATGGTTAGGGGAGCGTCAGTTAGGAGAGTTATCAAAAAACAACCACATCCACGTTTCAAATAAATGAGTGAGTTAAGTTTAGAAGGATAGCACAAATGATACCCGATCGGCAACTGATGAAAAGCTTGCTGGTTTGAATCCACCCAGAAAGGCTTTGTAATAAACATCTGGCACCCTACTAGCAAAAGATCACAGCCATTGAAGACCTTAGGGAATAACCTTCTAGAAAATATGAGGGACTCCAAATAGGAATGATCTCTTCTGAAGCCCCTTTATACGTGGGGTTGCCGTGAGGCAGAATCGACTCGATGGCAACTGATTACTTTCAGTTGGTAACACTTAAAGTTGTGTACCAAAGCACATTAATACTAAAGAATTTTGTGGGGACATTTTTGAACCCAAACATTTGTCTAGCTATTGTTGTATCTATACCATAGGCAGACATACAAAGTAAACCAGTATGTCAGTTTAGAGAAAAGTATTCTGTGCATCATTTCTCTCTGATTGCTTCCTGTTTTTTCAATTGAAGAAGGAATGCACAAAGAATTATGTGAGCGTATGGAGGCTCTGGAGGATAAGCACTGTACTGCTAACCATGGGTCTGTGGTTCAAACCCACCAGCTGTTTCTTGGAAACTGTTTAAAAGGTGGCTATGAGTCTGAACTGACTCAACAGCACTTAGCAACATCATTGAGGGAGCAAAGAGGTGGATTATCTCAACAGGAAGTTAACCTTCACATCACTTTTGCTTAGATCTAGATGAATGTTCCCAATCCCCGAAACCATGCAACTTCATCTGCAAGAACACCGAAGGGAGTTACCAGTGTTCTTGCCCACGGGGCTATGTCCTGCAAGAGGATGGAAAGACGTGCAAAGGTGAGTGAACCATCTGATCATTGTGACCAGTGCCCAACTCTGTTCTCTCAGGCTTGGATCTATCAGGTATTACTATCAGGTATTATAGAATTTGTATCACCCTCATTAAAACACATCTTCCCAGTGGTCGTTTTGTTACTCATAGAAAACTTTACCAAAGGACTGATGGTAGGAAGCAGAGAGAATTAAAACCCAGATGGTGGGAGTTCACTTCCTATATAGTAAACACAAATTTAAAAAAACTATAAAAGCTAAGCAAAATGTTGGTGTGGGAAGAGTTAATGAACAAAATAAGTAAAAATAAGATTTTTTTTTCCTTACCTAAGATATCACTTCTCTATACTAACCTTATTACACATTTATTGTAGAAAATGGAAAGTAAATGGGTAATTTTAATGTTTTGCCTCTGCAGTGTTAAAAGAAATTATTTATAAAACAAAATTAGATGTTAAACTGGCTTCAGTACTATACTCCTATATTCAGTTTATTAGTAAACCTTATCAGTATGAAATAATAGACTAAAGAAATTTCTAATTGTATTTTTGAAATATAGATTATTCTCAATTAGATGAGGTTTTGTTCCCAGGGAAAATATAAAATTAAGATAATAACAAATAGAACTATTCTATCAGACCAAACCTATTTTCAAAATAAATGTGGCTCTTGTTAGGTGCCATCAAATTGGTACCAATTCATAGTGACCCTGTGCACAACAGAACAAAACACTGCCAGGTAC